GAGAGAAACAAAATGGTGGTAACTATCCGAGGTGATGAATATGTTAATTAGCTTAATTGTGGTGATTGTTTCCAACGTATATATATATATCAAATCACCAAATTGCATACCTTAGGTAGACAGTCATGCATTGCATAATGACAGGGGCATGTTCTGAGAAATGTGCCCTTAGGTGACTTCACTGTTGTGTGCACATGATAGAGGTGACTTCACTATTGTGTGCACATCATAGAGTGTACTCACAGAAGCCTAGATGGTACAGCCTGCTACACACCCAGGCTCTATGGTACTAATCTTATGAGACCACTATAGTACATGTGGCTTGTCTTTGACCGAAACATCGTTGTGTGGCACAAGACTGTATAGAATTTTTAATAATCAATTATGCCTCCATAAAACAAAGAAATATTCTCAAATTGTTTTCAACTGTTACCCTATCACAAAACTGTTTCATATTTTCAATTATTTTATTTTTCTGTGCATCGTTATTGAGGTTATTCTGTCTTAGAAATAATATTCCTTTCAGTAGTATGTACACAATTTTTAAACTAATCATTCTAGTTTTTGACATTTAATATGAATTTTCTCTACATATTGGACTTGATTATTTTGCATAGCTTTTTTGGGGTGGGTAGTGAGGAAGATTAGCCCTGACCTAACATCCATTAGCAATCTCCATTTTTGCTGAGGAAGACTGGCCCTGAGTGAATGTCTGTGCCTATCTTCCTCTATTTTGTATATGGGGCACTCCCATAGCATGGCTTGACGAGGGGTGCATAGGTCTGCTCCCAGGATCTGAACCTGTGAACCCCTGGCCACCGAAGCAGAGTGTGCAAACTCAACCACTATGGCACCAGGCTGGCCCCTAACTTTTCTTTCTTTATAACTCACTCTTACTTTCCAGTTTTCCATTTTTGTATTTTATTTATTAAACAGAGTAAATAGATAATTTCCACAAAAAATGTTTTAAAATAAAATAAAATAAAATAGAGCATCAGAAGTGAAATGCTTGATCACTGTGTAATACTGACCCTTAAGAAGGAAGTCTGCCCCATGGAAGTCCGTCCCATCTTGTGTTAAGGGTCCAGGGCACTGGATTCCTCTCTAGACCTGAACTTGGATTGAGGTTTCAGACAATCTGCTATTTCCACACAGTTTCCAGTAATTATTTCTATTTCAATAATATCATGCTGTTATGTCCTGATGTTATGCTGAACCTTCTTCAGTTTTTTAAATTTTTTATTGAGAAAACTAAAGCATACAGATAGAGCATTAAATAAAATTAACTACTAATCATAATGAAAGTTGAAGATAAGTATAACCAGAGGCAAGTCAAAAAGAATATGGCCGGACTTCCAGAAGCTTCTCGAGATTCCTTCATAATCTGTATAAGTAACTATCATCATGATTTTAAGTTAATCATTTCACCCCCTTTTCAAGTTTTTGCACCTTTGTATGCCTCCCTAAATAATTTATGTGATCCATTTTTAACAATCTGATAATATCACACACATTCTTTTTGGATTCTTTCTTTCACTCACCATTATGTTTGCAGGATTGATCTGTATTTTCGTTTGTAGTTCTAGTTTATGCATTTTTAACCACTGTATAATATTCCACTGTATAAAAGTAAAACAAAACATTATTCGTTCTTCAGCTGATGGAATTTTGTTGTTGACAGTTTTGGACTAATGGGAATAATGCTCCTCTCCCATGTCCCAAGCCTGTATTGTTGGGCACATGTGCACAGATTTTCCTAGGGAGCATCCCTAGGTGTGAGACTGCTTGGTCATAGCTGTGCATCTCTTCACCAGAAAATTCCAGACTACACCTCAAATTGGATGAAGCAATTTGTACAACTCCCCACAGTATGTGAGATTCTGTTCTGTCCTCTCTCCAACAATCAATTTGAAATTAAATTGAACAAACAACACACTTGCGTCTACCATCTTGGAATGCACAATCTCAGGTAATCAGCACCACAGCCCTGAAGGAGCCATCAGCACTTCCGGTGACACACAAAGGCACAGAGGCTCACAGTCGGGCTGTCACTTGCATGAGGTCACACAGGAGACTGCTGATTCCAGGTGTGGATGCTGTGGGAGGAGCCCCCAGGAAGCACCTGGCGGAGAGAGAGGAGCCTGCAGAATCCAGACGGGGTGCTGGAGTATCATTCTGGGCTTGCACCTTCTAGGCTGGACATGAATTTTAGTCCATTGAAGCAGTTACTCAACCACATTACCTGAGTCTCTGCCCTCAGAGCTGGAGGCAGAGAGACATGGCAACTCACATCAGGGATGTGGACGTTATAAAGGAGACACTTGTGATACACAATGCTGGAGGTGAACATGAGACAGGGTGGAGTTATGGACACAAACTCTTCATGTGGACGTGGTATCTTGTCATCAGGGTGGGGGAATAAGAGAAGCCAGACACTGAGGAGACAGCATGGTGAGGGGCAACGCTCATGGTGGAGAAGCCTCCTCCAAGGAGCATTCCCAGCCTCCATCACTGCCTCCTGCACTGACAGCACTGCTTCACTGTCTTTAGTCTTCAGCACAGAGTCCACTCCCTCGTGCCTCCCACTCTCCGGAACCTTCTTTGTCATCACAGCCTTGTGTGATCTTGTTCTAATGTTCTACAAACCCCCAAGAGTGTGTGTAGGTCCATCCTGTTTACCTCTTGCTTTTGCCCAGGGATCTTCTCTGACTGTGCCACGCCTCACATATCAACACGCCTAGGACCACCAAGATCAATCCAGACAGACCTAGGCGGATGAGATTCTGCACTGTGTAATCTGGGAGTTGGGGGCCTGCAGACAATGGGAGAAAGAGGTCATGGAGGGTGGGGCAGGTCACACTGAACACGGCAGCCAGAGCGGAGGCTTAGATCCCAATCCCTTTGAACGGGTCATGTGCCCTGTGTGACCCTGCCCCCCAAGCTGAACAGGTTAGAATACTTACCACTCATGGGGTATGAGGTCGGTACTGATGGGGTGACAGTAACAGGAGACCCTGAGAATCAGAGAGACAGAGAGTGTAAGGACCTAAAATCATCTCAGCCCAGCTTTCCCCCAAGGTTCTGCATTATTAAATCTCCCTACTCATGTCAGCATTTCCATCTACTCTCACAACCCTAAAAGGTTGGTGCACACCCCACGCTGAGAGTGAATATGTTTGGAAACTCTTCGAGTTTAGATATTCCTTGCTCTCTTATCAGTCTGGAGCAATAGCCCAAGTGAAGCTTAGTCTCCTGGAAAGGAGAGTCCTGAGCTAATCCTCAGCTGAGAATCCTGCATCCATGGATGAGAGGTCAGGGCCCAGGGGCTACTGAGGGTCAGAGACACAGAGGAGTGGAGACCTGGGCTACCAGTCTTTGCCCGACCATGGTCAGTTCACCCCCACTCCTGTGTCTGCATTAAGAACCTTCAACTGGTGTTCTTTTGCTATTTCATTCATTCATTCATTCATTCATTCACTGTCCAAATAGTTATGACTAACTAAATATACATATAATATATAGATATAGATTTATTTATATATGTTATATACATGTATTATATACATAAGTATAACATGTATATAATACATTATATATTGCATTTATAATATGCATATTTTATGTATATGATATATACTTTTATATTATGTATATTTTTTACATATTACATATATTTGTATGTAAATATATATATAGAGAGAAAATGCATATGTGTATATAGAGAGAATGTATGTGTACATACATACATACACATAAGTGTGCATGTATGTGTGTATGTGTGTATGAGTGGGTGTGCACAGGCACGCCCATGTGTGTTGGTAAAGATGATAAAAGATAATTATCCAACCACTGCTTTCACAGAATGCATTGTCTGTTAGGAAAGACAAATTATTAAGAAGTAAAATGTATAACAAATAAGTTAGATCTATAAATAGTAAAACCTATAGTACACTTAGGATTGGTTAAACACTTTGAAAAATTATAATAGGTATTAAAGGGATGAGACCTATTTGAATAGGATCAGCAGACAACCTTTTATTTGGAGGAGGATTTTAAATCAAAACCTGAAGGGTAAAAAGGAGCAAACCATGTGAAGAGAATTTCCAATATTTATCACATAATAAATATCCATGCCCTTTGCCTAAGCTATTCTATTCTAAAAATTTATCAAAGAGATAAGGAGTAATTGTTTCCACATATCCCTGTGCATTAGGTAGGTACAAGGATATTCATGACAGGATGGTTTGAAATATCAAAAGGCTGGAAACAAACAAAATGCCAAATTACAGGGCATTGGATAAATACATCGTGATACTTGCAATCAGGGGAATACCATACAGCTATTAAAAAGTCTAAAATGAATTTATATGTTCTGATAGCAGATGATTCTTTAGAATGTAATAGTCCGTTTTTTAAAAATAGAGTGTTTCAGAACTGTGTCTGTAAGATGTTGACATTTGTCTATACACAGAAGATACATTTGTAGAGTCTCCCTGAATATTCTGGAAAAAGCTAGAAGAGTGTGGTCAGTGGGTGACTTTGGGGGAAGGGGCTGTGGGATTGGGCAACAGGTAACAGAGATTGAAAGGTGGTGTATCTGCCTATACAATATTTGTGAGCGATTTCAGGTTTGTACCATGTCAATGCATTGCCATTAAAGAAGAGGAAGAAGAGACAAAGGCCTCTTTGGCATTTTCAGCGATGATGCATTCCACATGTGGGTAGAGGAGCCCAGTGGGAGGTGTTGGTGCCCGGACTTGGAGGTGGAAAGAGACGGTGCACGAGACAGTCGTTGGCTGTGGGATCATCCAGACACCATGACAGATGGGATGAGATGGAGAGGGAAGAAGACCATGGACAGCTCCTCACCTGTGACCAGGAGCTCCAGGGGGTGGCTGGGACGTGACAACAGGAAGGGAGCACTGTTGAGTGACCCGTAGAATCTGTATGTCCCCCCGTGGTCCAGGGTCACAGGGCTCATGGGAAAGTTTGCCTGAAACGCCCCATCTTGAGGTGCCGTGGGGGACCGGTTTCCCCTTCCTTGTACAGAAAGAACGCATCAAACAAACTCTGGGTCTGACACCGCAGGGTCACACTCTCTCCTGGGGCCACGGTGGGGCCCGGGTGGGCTGACAGAGTGGGAGCTGCATTGCGAGGGAGCAAGACTGGGAGAGAAAATTCCACACTGTTAGGGGCAGCTCCATCCTTGTCCCCTGATCCCTTGACCTGAGCTGAGATTCCACTCAAGCCCTCAACCCAAGGGCTTTCATTGCTCGTTCTGTTCCCATTTTTTCTAAGCTCTTCACATTCCTCATCCCATCCCCTGTCCTTGCATCTCTCTTTGTCTGTGCTTTCTGCCCTCCATCCCCAACAAGACACCAAGCGCCACTCTGAGACCAGGGAAAACAGGAGTGTGGGCTGGGGTGAGGCTCCTCACCTGCCACCAGGATGTCCAGGGGGTCACTGGGGGCTGACCACTAGGAGGAGAGGTTGTATCCACTGTAGCATCTGTACTGACCCCTGTGAGAGCCACTTACAGGGCCCAGGGGGAAGTCGGTCTGAGAGAGTCCAGCCTGGGGTTGCCAGCCAAAGCGCTGGGAGAGGTCACGTCCTCCTTCTTTGATCAGAGCGAATCTGTCATAGCTGACATCAGAGCGACACTGGAGGGTCAATATCTCTCCTCGGGCCACCACAGGACCTGGCAGCACTGAGAGGGACGGTGTCCTAGACACGCCTGGGGGAAAAGGTGGTCATGATTTCCAAGAGTGTTAGGCTCCCCCACACTCGCCCCTCTCCCGCAGGCCTCCCCACTGCTGATCCTTCTGTGTGTCTGGCTCCCAGAGTCCTGAGCTCTCTCATTCCAACTTCACCCTACCTTGTGACCACCTGAGATGAGGCCCCTCTCTACCTGTCTGGAGAGCCAGGGAGTTCTGGGGCAAGGCTGTGAATTTCTCACCTGAGATCAGGAGCTCCAGGATGTCGCTGGAGGAAGACCACACATAGGGAGAGGTCGAGAAGTAACCATAGCACCTGTACGCCCACCTGTGACTTGGGCTCACAAGGCCCACGGTGAAGAGGACCTGGGACCACCCATCGGCTTGGCACTGAGAGTCCAGGTGTCCAGGGTGGTCATCTCCTCCTCCGAGACACAGAATGAACCTGTCGAATCCCTGCCATGAGCGACACTGGAGGGTCACACTCTCTCCTGAGGTCACCACAGGGCTTGGCAGGGCTGAGAGGGTGGGTTTGTTGAACATTCCTGGGGGAGAACGGGGCAGAGGTGTTAAAGGGGGAGGGAGCACTTGAGGACATCACGGTAACTTAGGCATGGTCTCACTTAAAGGATGAGTCTAAAATAGTCAGATTCATGGAAGCAAATGCTGGTTTCCAGGGGCTGGGAGGAGGGGAAGACGAGCGGTTTAACGTTACAGAGTTTCAGTTTCACAAGATGATTAAGTTCTAGGGATCTGCTGTACAACATTGTGTCTGTAGCTAACATTGTATAGTGCAAATAAAAATTTGTCAAGAGGGTCAATCTCATGTTAAATGTTCTTACACGATAAAAAAGTTGGGGGAGAGAACCACCAACCCCAGATGGTCAACAAGCCTCGGCTGTAGAAGGGAGGTCCCTCCCAGGGCACAGTCACCTCACCTGTGCCAAAAGGAGTGTCGCTCACCTGTGACCACCAAGTCCAGAGTCTTGCTGGGAAATGACCAGCTTGTTTTGCTGTGATACAAGCAGTGGTAGCTCCCAGCAAGGTGGTCAGTCATGCGTAGGAAGGAGAATTTGGCCTTGTCGCCAGGTCCCAGTGGAAACTCACTTCCCCAGGGTTCCCAGAGCCCCTCTCGGTACAGGTAGTACTGGCTGGCTTTCCGAGATCCCTGACACCAGATGTACACGGGCTTCCCGTGAGTGACGGCAGAGTCTGGCTCTGCCCAGATGGTGGGTTTGAGCAGAGTCTCTAGAAGAGAGATAGAGGTTGCAGTCCCCATATTCTCTGTACCTCAGTTTCCCCTAGCTCTCAGCCCCAGGGTCCCTCACCCATGTTCCCCATTAAACAGGTTAGAATTCTTCTTCTCAATCCTCCAGATGCCCAGTAGCGGCCCACATTGTCTCCAAGGAGGAGGCAGGACCTGGGATACCTGGGGATGCACTCACCTGTCTGAGTGTGGGTCCCATGGCCCAGACATAGCCCTGAAAGAGAGATCCCGACAAGAGGTCCCTGAATCCTGAGCAGATCCCCACCTTCCCTGAGAATCCCAAGTTCATGGGGTCTCCGGAGAGATCACAGCCTGGTAGTGAGAGGGCGCCCCCCTCCCACATGGGTGTTTCTCCCTCTCCTCCCCAAAACTCACCGAGGCAGAGGAAGGCTGTAGAGGTGATGGTCGTGACACTGCCTCCCATCGGACAAGGCTGAGCAGATGGACAAAGACACAGAACCTGGCAGAACAGACAGACCCACAGGATGTGGGCAACTGGGGGCTTTCCCATCAGTGGGCTTGGAGGAAGGGGAACAGCTCCTGCCCAGGCTCCAGAGGGCACCTGCTTCCCTGCAGACAATTGAGACCTGATCCGAGGTGTCACCTGGTCCCCAAGCTTGTGCCCACCAGGCGTGACCTCCTTCCTGGGGAGAGACGGTGGGGGCCCAGTTTCCAATCCTGAGTCACCCTCATCGGCCACCTACAAGCTGGGTGTGCCCAAGAGAACACCACTTCCCTTCTCAGAACTTCCATATATGGGAATTTCTTTCTTTCCTTCAGCCAATCATTCAGTAAATGTATGTTGTTCTGTGTCCTGGACAGCCATCTGTGAATCAGACAGATATAGTCACAGCACTGGTAGAGGTCAGATTATCAGAAGACAGACTTTTGGTAACTAATTTCACTGTTAATTACCTATTCAAAAAGAGAAATACACGAAAATATGAAAATGTGTAACAGGAGGGAAATATGAGCTGTATGTCACAAAACATGAAACCTGAGACCCGTCCTTACAGGGATTTCCTTAAGAACTGATCATGCGCTCAACCTCACTAATCATCAGGGAAATGCAAATCAACACCACACTGAGATATCACTCACATCTCTTAGGATGGCAATTCTTAAAAACAAAACAAAACAAAACAAAAAAAAAACAGACAACAAGAGTGGGCGAGGATGCAGAAAAACTGGAACTCTTGTACATTGCTGGTGGGAATGCAAAATGGTGCAGCCACTGTGGAAAACAGTATGTAGGTTCCTCAAAGTATTAAAAATAGAACTACCATGAAATCCAGTAATCCCACTCCTGGGCACTGATCAACGAGGATTGAATCAATCCCTCTGAGATCCCTCTGAGTTCAGAGGGAAATTAGCACTCTTGTGTTCATTCATTGCAACATCATTCACCAGAGCCAAGATGTGGAAACAACATAAATGCCCATCAACAGAGGAATGGATAAAGAAAATGCAGAAACTATATACAGTCGGTTATCAATCAGCCTCAAGAAGAAGGAAATCCTGCCATTGGCGACAACATGGATGAACCTGGGGGACATTATGCAAAGTGAAATAAGCCAGACACAGAAAGACAAAGATTGCATGATTCCACTTTCATGACGCATCTAAAGTGTCAGACTCATAGATGCAGAGAGTAGCATGGTGGTTGCCAGGGGCTGAGAGGAGAGGAAAGTGGAGAGTTAATGTTCACTGGGTATAAATTGTCAGTTATACCAGATGAGTAAGTTCTAGAGACCAGTTGCACAACATTGTGCCTGTAGTTAACAATACTGTATACCAGCTGCACAACTTTGTGCCTGTAGTTAACAATACTGTATTGAACACCTAAGAATTTGTTAAGAGGGTAGATCTCATGTGAAGTGTTTTTACCACAATAAATTTAAAAAACAAAAAAGAACTGACGTTGGTGTCAGATTACTAGTTGAGATGGCAGACCGAGTCCATGTTCAGAGCCCCCTTAGCTCCAAACACAGAGAATTTCTGGATACAATGTTTGTGAAGGAGGTGGTCCTTCACAAACATGGATGGTTTGGAAAGAGAGGGACAAATAAGAGGGCTGCAAGTGGATGAGAAACGCGCAGGGGTGACCAGCGGCTGAGGCCAAGTAGCTGCTGCTGTTCTGGGACCAGCTAAGGGTCACTTGTCCTGAGATGACGTGTCTGTGCAGAGGGAATACCTTCTCAGAGCAGAGAAAGGGCCCTGAGGTCGCCATGTGCGCCTGAAGTCTGTCCATGGTGGGGATGGAATGGCTTAACCCCTGATGCAGAGTCATGTCCACAGTTGAGCTCTTTTCTTCTGGTGGGGGAAAAAATTGAGTCCATCTATGGTACACATTAGCCCCAAATACCTACTCTTATTTTCATCAGTAAGAAATGGATGGTTTGTTTTTTTAATGTGGTAAAATTCACATAAAATTTACCGTTTTAAGGTTTACAATCCAGTGGCATTTAGTGTATCCACCATGTTGTATAACTGTCACCTTTATCTAGTTCCAAAACATTTTAATCAACCCAAAAGGAAACCCTAAACCCATTAAGCAATCACACTCCATTCCTCCCACCCCCATGCCCTTGGCAACCACTAATATTATTTCTGCCTTTATGGATTTACCTATTCTGGGCACTTCATGTAAATGAAACCATACAATATGTGACCTTTTGTGGTCTGGCATCTTTTACTTAGCATACTGCTTTTGAGGTTCATCCATGTTGTAGTATGCATGAGGACTTCATTCCTTTTCATGGCTGAATAATATTCCATTGCATGTATATACCACATTTTGATTGTCCATTAATCCACCGATGGACATTTGGGCTGTTCCCACCTTTTGGCTACTGTGAATGGTACTGCTATGCAGATACGTGTACGTGTATTTGTTTCAGTGCCTGTTTTCAATCATTGGGTATATATCTAGAATATATGAAGAACTCTCACAACTTAACAACATAAAGACAAACAACCCAATTAAAAATGGGCATAGGGCTTGAATAAATATTTCTCCAAAGAAGATACACAAATGGCCAACAAGCACATGAAAAGAAGCTCAACACCATCGTCATTAAGGAACGCAAATCAAAATCACAATGAGACCCCACTTCACATCCACCAGGATGGTTATCATTCAAAAAAATAACAAGTGCTAGGGGGAGTATGAACAAATTTGAACCCTCGTACATTGCTGATGGAAATGCAAAATATTTCAGCTACTGCAGAAAACACTTGGGTGGTTCCTCAAAAAGTTAAAGATTTACCATATTTTACCCAATAACTTGACTCCTAAGTATATATCCAAAATGATAGCTTCTATCCAAAACTTCTAATAGCACCTCTACATGCTTTGAGAAACTATAAACGACTCTCTCATTTTATTGTTCAAGCCTCACACAGAAAGAGAATAAATATTGCCACTATTCATATAAAAATTAACAACAAACACAGATTAAACTGTCACAGATTGGGTGCAGAACTTGGTTCCCCCGGTTTCTATCAGGATCTGTCCATCAGAAGGCACAGAGACTCCCTCTTCATCCAGGTGATGGCCCTCTTCCTCCAGAGACCCTGACGCTGGGTACTCGTCCCAGGTAGTCACGCAGCCTGGCTCAGCCTGGAGGATAGGCGTGGGAAGCGCTCCCAGAAGAGAATTAGATGGAATATCAAGGGATCCTTCACAGCCTGGATTGTTCTGGACGTATCACTATCTTCCCACAGTGGCTGCTCCCCCTCCCAGCTCCACTGCTGCAGTAAGCAGGGCAACTTCCAGAATACGCCCACACCCTAGTCCCTGGAATGTGTAAATGTGTTACATGACCTACAAGAGGAACATTGTAAAAAGAATTGAGTACAAACTTTAAGAAAGGGCGATTATCCTAGATTATCTGTGTGGGCCCAACCTAGTTACAGGAGCCCTTAAAAGCAGAGAACTTTCTCTGTCTGGAGGAGAAGAGATCCCACAGACAAATTCAAAGAATAAGAAGGACTCAACCCACCATCGCTGGCTTTGAAGATGAAGTAGGACACAAGGCGGGAAGTGCAAGCAGGTTCTAGAAGCAGGAACGACCCCCAGTGAACAGACAACAAGGAGACAGGGACCTCAGTGCCACCACTGCAAGTAGCTCCATTCAGCCAACTCCAGGAATGAGCGGGAGATATATTTTTCCCATGGCCTCCAGAAAAGAGCCCAGATGTCCGGCACCCTGATTACAGCCACATGGGATGCAGAGCAGGGGGTCCAGTGGCCTCCCTGACTTCTGACCTACAGAATTGTGAGATAATAGATGTGTGTTACTCTGAGCCGCCATGTTGGTGATAATTTGCTCAAGCAGTAATAGAAACTAACACAACCAGCGGACAGTCGTTGTGTTAATCCAAGAGGTCGAGCCTGGAATGTCTGGAGAAAGAACGCACCTGACAGGCCTTGGCCCTCCCGCCAAGAAACAGCCTTGAAAGAGAGTTCTCTGTGAGACGTCTGCTCCTTTCCACCCACAGACACAGAGAATGCCCATGTGTGGACAGTGTCCCTGAGTTCTTGGGTCATTCTGAGCTGGGCATCCTGGATTCTGGGAAGATTCTACCCTCTCCGCTGTGGCACAGAGTCCCCTGAGGCATCCTGAGTCCAGAGACAATGCCTGGGCGTGTGGAGAGGGGCCTCTTCCCAGATTTGGTGGCTGTTCTTCTTCCCGAAGGTTCACCGAGATGGAGAAGCACAATTAGAGTCGGGGTGGTGATGCTGCCTCACCCTGGCCCCAGCTGTGTAGACAGATGATTTATAATGTGCATGCATGTGGTGGGTGTGCCCTCTTGTGCTTCTGCCATCATCACAATGAGGACAACATGTGCCCACTGGCTCGATGACCCAAAGAGGGAGAGTGACATGTAGTGGATCTAGAGTCAAGCCCAGCCAAGTAAAGCCTGGAGCGGCTCCAATAGTGGTGATTGAGAATCCGTGGTCATTGCCTTCTG